GTAGTTCAACAGCTAATTCTACAAATATAACACAAGGAGGAGCACCTAAATCTGGTATTATTCACATCATTGCTAGTTGTATATTTTTTGTATTACTCACAATAATAATTAGTTATATCATTCTTAAAGTGATACAACAATATAATTATAAGTTCAATTATGAAAATAAATAAAATATTTTAGAGTTATTGTCTTTTTCTTCATCAATTTCATTTAATTTTTTCTGTTCAATATAAACTTCTCTCCCTGTTTTTTGTATAGTTTTTCCTTTAGTAACAGCTGTTTTTCTCGACTTTAAAAACTCATAAAACTCTTTTTCTGTTATGGTAGCTTTATCCATTTTATGGATGTAAAATTAAAAAGTTTTCTAAAAATAATTGAACAAACATTAAATGGACGAACAAGATATTTTAAGAAGGGAAACAGAGATAAAGTTACTAAAAAATAAAATTAAAGCTTTAGAGAAAGCAAATTTTGATTATTTAAAGAGTAACTCAATACACATTAGAGAGCTTAAAGATATAGAATTTAAGTATAAGAACCAGATATATATACTTGAATCTGAACTTAAGATGTTAAGAGTAGAATTAGATACAAAAAATAAGTTAAGTCAATATAAAGAAAATGACATGAATTTCACTCAAGAAATTAGTAACACAGTAAGAGACGACTTACCTTCAAAAAGAGCACTTGAAACAGTCAATAGTGTTAAGAATTTACTCAACCAACTTGGTAATCAAAATGAAGACAAACTCATCTATGAAAAGCTTAAATTTTTTAGAAATTATTTTTTTGGTGAAATGTATCAAATAGACGATAATTTTGTTTTAAACGTTTTGAATTTAAATAGAAAAAGTGTTTATTTTATAGAAATATTTAGTTTATTTGGTAATAAAAAGTCGGTATTTGAAAGGTTTATTTTTGGAATATTAAAGAATAATCAAAGAAAGTATGAAATTATTCTTGAAGTTTTAGAGTCAATTCCTGGTGATTTTTTTGATATTGAAGGTTTAGTTGATCAAATTAATAATTTTATAAAAAATAAGAATCCACTCATTCTGGTTTCTTTCTACCACAATGTCATTGAATCAAAAAAGTTTCTATTAAACAAACTGATGACACGACAAAATTTTGATAAAATATTAAAGAGTAAAAAACATAAGCCATTTATAATGACAATTTGTTCAACTGATAGTGGAATGGGATTTATTGATGAAAAAAATCTCAGTTATTTGTCAAATGACGAGTTAAAAGCGATTGGATTATCAGAATTTTATTTTAAAAATTGAATCATAAATCTCTTCAAATGTATCAGCATTATAATAATTAAAAACCATATCAAATGGTACTCTATCATATTTAAAATGATTTAAAGCATCTGAGGTTACATTATTTTTATAATAATTTATCTCATTTATGAAAATGTATTTCTTATATTTTTCTATGTTTATGTCCACATATTTAATTTTATTTTTCTTAGTAAAATCATTTTTAGACTTTTTGATTGGTTTATTTTTATTAGAATTAAGCCTGTTTTTAGAGAGTTTTTCTAACTGATTATCTTTATCTGACTTATTTTTTAAAAACACTCTCAAATTTGATTCAGAATCATCCAAATCAATATCTTTTAATAAAATAGAAGTCTCACTATCAAATTCTGCTAATCTTTCATACTTCTTACACAATTCTTCTATTTTCTTGTTTTGTTTCTTAGATAATTCTTTAAATTCATTAAAATTCATATAACTTTAAAAGATTTAAATTTTATTAAAATTCCAATGAAAATAAAATTATTTATATAAAAACACAAAAAGTTTCAAATCATTAGTAATAAAAACAATTCAACTCATTTAATGTTTATTTTTATTGAAATATTTCTTATGTTTATTTTGTTAGAGATTTTAAATAAATTTTTTTCTTTATTTATAAATTTATGAATTACAAAACAGATATTAATGTTTTAAAAGATATAGTTAAGAAGTATATTTTTTCAGATCCAGAATTACAAAAAGTTGTTATACCCGCACTTGCTGTACTTATAATGGGTAAATTTATACAAGTAAAAGCTGCAGCACAAGTTAAAGATTTATCTGAGCTTATCAAAGATAAGCATCTTAGTTTTGGATTTCTATGTAAATTTGGGTTTTACATGTTAGTTTCCATATCGATATCTGAATTTTCATCTGCTTGGTTGTGTAAGTTTGGACAAAGGGGGTATAGAAATGCTGCCAAAGATGGATATGAATATTATTTAAGATTACATCCAACAGACTATTCAAGTATTGGTAAAGGAACAATTCAGAACAATATAAAGAGAAGAGCAAGTGCGGTCAAAGATACCATTGATGTTTTAACTCTTAACTTTACTCCTTTAATATTCACTTTAATATTTTCTTTTTGGAACATTTTTCATAATATGAACTTAAAATCACTACTTTTAATATGTTTTGCTATTTTCTTATATATTTATTTAACCATTAAAATAACTATTTGGAGAAATAAGATCAGAGAAGATTTAATAGAATCTACTAATAAAAATCAAAATATTTTAATTGATGGTTTGAATAATTTTGAGGTTATTTATACTTCTGCAACTGAAAAATATGAAATTAATAGATATAACAAATATTTAAAAGTTACTGAAAAGGAAAATACTTATCTGACTAGAACTATGTATTTTCTTAATTTTGTACAAGGAATTATTTGGGAATCTGCTATTTTCATTTTAATATTCTTCAATTACTTTGTGATGTCAAAGAATGATAAAAACATATCAGAAATTGGTTATATTTTAACTATGACGGGTATGCTTAAATCATCACTATTTAATATTGGTTTTATGTATGGAAAGTATAAATCAGGTATAATGAATTTTAGACTAACTAACAAACCAAGTAGAAGTATTAAAACTTTAGGTAAGACAAAATTTGGAGAATTTAAGAAAGCAATCAGTGTTTATGATCTAACAATGTGTTATGGTGATAAAATTATACTTGAATCAGTTAATTTTAATATTTTGAAAGGTGAAAAAATTGCCTTAATTGGAAGTAATGGTTGTGGTAAATCAACTTTGTTAAAGAGTTTGTTAAAACTCAATGGGGCTAATGGTTATATTTTTATAGATGATCATGATGTTGAAAGAATTATAGATGAGGATTTTAGAAAGTTAATCACTTACATCCCTCAAAACCCAACACTTTTTGATGAAGATGTCAAGTACAACATTAAATATAACCATCAGAAAGTATTTGATGATGCGATGTATTCATTGGCCAGTAAGATGGGTTTACATGATGATATAGTAAGACTGAATGCAGGGTATGAAACCTTATGTGGTGAAAATGGAACACTTTTAAGTGGAGGAGAGCGTCAAAAGATTTTCTTCTTAAGAGCTTTACTTAGTGAAATTCCAGTACTGGCATTAGATGAGGCTACATCAGCATTAGACAAAAAATCAGAAGAAAACATTTTTTCTAGAATTTCTAAAATGAAAGATTTAACTGTTATTGCTATTGTACACAATTTGGAGTTATTGAAATATTTTGATAAAATTTTAAAAGTTGAGAATAGAAAGGTTCATGAAATACCTTTAAATGAATTAAAACTAAACTAATAAAATATTTTAAAAAAAATTAAATAAAAAATGAGATCAAATATTCAAAAAGATTGTTTAAAAGTAAATAAAGAAATGGTACTTGGAAATGATCAATCAAAGCAAAATTTAAACATTATAAAGTTATTCTTTAAAGATAATAGTCTAGTAAGACAGCATATTAATTCATTTAATTATTTCATAGAAACTGAAATTAAGAAAATAGTCAAAGTTAATAATTTTATTGATTCGGATATTGATCAGAACTTTTATCTAAAGTTTTTGAATGTAAGAGTAGCATTTCCATCTATTAATGAAAATATGATTGAAAGTAAATTATATCCACTTGAGTGTAGAAATAGAGATTTGACCTATGCTTCGACTATCTATGTGGATATTGAATATATTAAAAATAAGAAATTGATTATTGTTAAAGATCTAGAGATAGGTAAAATACCAATTATGTTAAGAAGTAATAGGTGTATATTAACTGCTGAAAATGATACTTTGGCAAAGGAATGTGTTTATGACAATGGTGGTTATTTTATTATTAAGGGTGTTGAGAAGGTTTTACAAATTCAAGAGAATTTAATTAAAAATAGAATTGTTGTTGATATTGGAAGAAATGGTTTTATGGCATCAACAGTTTCTTATACAATTGAACATAAATCAAAGACTAATATTATTTCTAAGAATGATATTCTTTATGTTCAAAGTAATATATTTACTGAAGATGTACCTGCCATATCAGTTATTAAAGCATGCGGTAATCTTACTGATAAAGAGATTGTTGATATTATAGGAAAAGATGCCTATAATTTTCTTAGTCTGTCATTCAATGAATATTACACTAATTCTAACTTCGAAGAGGAACAGGCTTTACTTTACTTGAGTCAATTTATTAAATTGAAACCAGAAGAAAATAAAGTTGAAGCTACAAGAACTTTATTGGCTGAAAAGTTATTATCTAATGTTCAGATTGATACAACATTAAGAAATAAAGGAATTCATCTTTGTTTGATGATAAAATATTATATTTTAGTTAAATTAGGGAAAATGAAACTTACTGATAAAGATTATATTGGAAATAAGAGATATGAATTAGCGGGTCAGATGATAAGTTTATTATATGAAGATACATTTAAGAAGTTTTGTTTTGACTTTAAGAAACAGATAGATAAAATTTTATCTAAAAGAACTAGAACATCAGAATTTGACGCTTTGACATTTTTTAATCTTTTAACAGGATCGATCACTAATACACTCAATAGAGCAATATCATCAGGTAATTGGAATTTAAAAAGATTTAAGATGGAAAGGTCTGGTGTAACCCATATATTAACAAGATATTCATATTTCTGTGCTTTAGGTATTATGAGTAAAATAAATAGTCACTTTGAAAAGATAAGAAGAGTATCTGGTCCTAGATCTTTACACATAAGTAGTTGGGGAATGGTTTGTCCATCAGATACACCTGAAGGTGAAGGATGTGGTCTTGTAAAAAATCTAGCTTTACT